TATAGATATATATATATATATATAGATATATATATATATGTATGACAATTGGTGCTTTCACAAGATATTTACACACCTGCCTCACTGTCTGCCCGTCTTCTATTGTGAACAAACAGCTGATAGTGTTGCGTCATATATTAAAGACATAACTTGTATGTGGACTAACTAACTAACTAAAACAGGGTTAGATATGACACGAATACAACTGAGCAGAGAATGAAGCCTTGTTAGGTTGAGGGTTGTGTAATGTGTGTGTGTGTGTGTGTGTGTGTGTGTGTGTGTGTGTTTCAGGCGTAGTCGAGGCGGCGGAGGGCGAGCGAGACCCCGGCTGGGGTCGAGTGTGTGTTTTCCTGCAGAAGTTGGGGAAGAAGGGCGACAGCAGCAGCCTCAGTCTGTCTCACTGCGACCTCACTGCCACTGACCTGCTGGAGTTAGGTGATTATTATATCAGTTTATTTACAAGCTTTGTTTTTCTGAAAGAATGTGCATGTTTTGTACTACAACAATACATTTAAATATATCGATGACCGGCACAGTTTAGTGTTTTTTACAGTCCCACTCTTCACTACAGCCGATTCTTACCCCATAGCAAAATAAATTGTCTTTACAAAGTTTGTTCATTCTTTAGTAAACACAGACTGAGATTAGTTCTTGATTGAGCTTTCATAAATATATATATGTTTTTGGTTCCCGGTCCTCCTCAGCGACATTGCTCCAGTTCCTCCCTCAGCTGGAGGAGGTGGACGTCTCCTGGAACGAGCTGATTGGCGGATGTCTGACAGCGTTGACCTCTCACCTCCAGCATGTGGGCGGGATCAGAGCGCTGAGGCTCTGCAGCTGCAGGCTGAGCGCCGACGACGTCGCTGCGCTGGGTGATAAATGAAGTCCAGTCAGAGCTCGTGAACGTTCTTCTACACTCAGATCCTAAATCTGATGTGACTTGACTTCAGTATAGAAATGATCAACAAAACGTAGCTCTTTAATACTTTAATACTTTAGTTTATTCATATAAGAGCGTGTCGTCTGCATACAACTGTGTCTCCACACCATCACACTCAGATGGAAGAGGAACAACAGGGGTCCTAAGATGGAACCATGTGGCACGCCCATGAAAGTGCACCAGTGGCTCATGGGATATGTAGTTTGTGAATGTGAACAAAACATGTATTTTATTTCAACCTTGATAGGCGTGTTGAATGTTTTTTTTAGCAACCGGGACATAATTTGATCACCATTTAGAGTCTGCATCAAGTGACTTACAGCAAACATTTGGTCGATTAAGCAATTAGACAAACAACTAAAAAATGAATGTGCAGCTATTCTTAGAATCAATTTATCGTTGAAGCTATTTTATCAAGAAAAGCTCTTTGTTCTCATCTTAGCGTCAGAGTTAACTAGCTACCTTTGGGTTTGTAATAAAGCAATCTAAAGATGCCGTCTTTGACTCGACATAGACTTAAAATGATTAACAATTTCAACAGGGACGTTGCTCGGGCCGTAATAACGTTAGTTGTAGTTCTGCAGTTCCAGCTGTTCGACTTCAGCTTCAAAGAAAAGAAACAAGTGGATTTTATTGCTTTCTGTTGCGTCCGTGCAGGTGAAGCTCTCGGCTGCGTTCCTCTCTTGGAGATCCTCGATTTGTCCTGGAACAGCGGCGTCGCTTTGCAAGGCCTGCTGGGTAAACTTCCCCCTCCGCTGAGGGAGCTCCACCTGGTGGCCTGCCAGCTCACTGCAGCCGATGCCACTGCACTGGGTACTGCCTTTAAACCCATGAATACTATCATAAGGAAGGACTATCTTACATTTCCCACAATGCCACGGGAGAGAACACCAACAGAACCTGAGTTCCTCTGACATCCTCCACTCTGTATATTTTGTGTGTGACCCATTCTGTCCCATGTCTGTCTCTCTCAGGAGGGATAGTGTCTGCTGTCTCCAGACTCTGTGTGCTGGACGTCTCCTGTAATCCTCAGCTCACACAGGAGGTTGATGCCGGCTTCGTGGCGTTGGCCTCCTCGCTCTCTCACGCCGTCGGCCTCGCCACGCTCAGACTACAGGCCTGCGGTCTGAGGCCGGACAGCCTCGAGGCTCTCGGTAGGAGCTGACACACTTCAATCAAACTTTATTAGTACAGCACCTTTCACGCTGGTTTGTGAAGTTCAAAGACAGGCCGAAAATACGACGGTACAAGTGAACCGAGTAAAGTTCAGCACCAGGTTTCTCTGCTTCTTACCGTTTCTACTTTATCTTATGAATCAACAGGTGTCTACAAATCTACACTACCGCACCAATTTCTGCCATTTCCTAAATGGCTGCACGAGATGTCTTCTTAGCTTCTCTCAGTGACGCTGTATATTTGACATTCATATATTTCTTCAAAGCTTCATGCAGCACATTTATATTCCACATGCTCGTATCAACTCTGCAGAATTAGATGGTATTTACACCCACAGACACCTTTTCTTTAACTTAACTTTTGCACAATTCATCCTTTTACAAACTTGGATTAAGATGAAAACGGCAGGAACATAAATGAAAACCTCTTTTGAGTTTTTTATACATTTATGTTCGATCTTGATGAAAACGAACAAGAGTGTGGTTTATTTATTCCCCCCCGTCACTGTCCGGCAGGTGGTTCGCTCCGCTGCCTCCCCTCAGTGCGAGAGTTGGACCTGTCCTGTAACAAGAGTCTGGCTGGAGGCCTGGACCGCCTCACGCTCAACCTGGCTCACCTCACACACCTGGAGAGCCTCGACCTCCACCTGTGCCGTCTCACCCGCTCCGACCTGGAGGCCCTGAGTGAGTAGATGTGTGTGTGTGAGTGTGTGTGTGTGTGGGTGTGTGACTGACACAATTGAGTGTGTGAGGTCATCTGTCACGTGACCCCCCCCGTTGTCTCCAGTCCAGGTACTTCCCTGTCTAGCAGCGCTGACGCAGCTCGACGTGTCGTCCAATAAGGAGGCAGGGGGCGTGGCCCACCAGCTGGTCGCCGCCCTCCCTCTGACACAGATGAGGCGTCTGCCGCTCAACAGCTGCAGCCTGAACCAGGACTCCTTTACTGCTCTGGGTACGCACAAATACTACTGATACTCCTAGAGCTAGTACTACAACTACTGCCAGTAGTGCTGATGCAGCTGAAGCTGGTGCTAAAACTACTATGAGTACTAATACTGCAGGGGTAGAAGTATTCAGATTGTTTACTTCAGTAAAAGTGTCAAAAGTCCTACATTTTACCTTCGTAAAAGTACAGAAGTATGAGTAGAACAATGTACTTAAAGTTTCAAAAGTACTCGTTATGCAGAAAAACAGCTTTTGATTTATAAACATGATATTATTGGATTATTTTTACTGATGCATTCATGTGTAAATCTCATTTTATTGTTGCAGTTGTTCGAGATGGAGCCAGTTTTAACAATTGTTTCATTTATAACAAATATTTTATGAGACGATCGTATGATTTGAACGGAAAACTGATTTTTAAAGTATAACTGTCAAATATCAATATTTCCTTCTGAAATGGGAGTACTCACATGATAGTACCTCTAAACTGTGCGCTTGTACAAATATAGCAAGTTACTCTCTACCACTGTACTTCTGTCAGTACTATGAAAAACTACTACTGGTACTACAGCTACTTCTGCTTTAATTGCTGCTTCTACTACAACTGCTTCTAATAATAATATGACTGTAATGTAATACACCATATTATAATCCTTTAAAAAAAAAA